AGCGCAACACGACCGGGACACCATCACAACATGACCGGGACACCATCGCAACATTCGCGAGACACCATCACAACATGACCGGGACACCGTCACAACATGACCGGGGCACCAGCATCACATGACCAGGACACCGTCACAACATGACCGGTGTGGTTTGTTCTGCTCTCGGCAACAGCAGCTAAAAACTGACGAACTCTCAACATGACTGGGACACCGTCACAACACGACCGGGACACCATCACAACACGACCGGGACACCATCAAAACATGACCGGGACACCGTCACAACATGACCGGGACGTCATCAAAATATGACCTTGACACCATCCGCCCACCAGCTCTGACGGTGACCCGACGGCGCCCGTGCGCCTATTAGTTTTGCAAGACCACATAGCATGGCTATTGGGGAAATACAAATAAGAAGTATATGGGATGTGTACTGGGATCTGTATTTTACTGGGGAAACCCCCAATAGTGTGTAGACAGGTCTATTTTTCCTCTTCCAGAAGGTCGAACTGGGAGGTCTCCCTATTCTAATAGTAGAAATGTCACCAAGTGACATTTCGATTCGCTTGTCAAAGACGAATAAGGAGATGCGATCACAGTTCAGCACCTTGAGGCTTTCCTCAATGATCACCTTTGAGAGCTCTCGAACAGGCTGAGAAGCACAGCGAATGAAAAACTTGGAGCAAATCGGGTCTAGGGATCTCCACCCGGATGGTCTCCTTTGGAACAATTTCAGAGGTGATCCTGACATCCAAGCGGCTTCCATGAAAGACCGTCATCAAAAGAATAACATTTCTTCGCCGGTCTTTCATGGAAGCCGAAAAGAGAGAGAGAGAGGGAGAGAGAAGTTTCTCTTGTGGTCTGGGGTATCATAGGATCGCTCGAAGCGGTTCAACACAGCTCACCGTCTCCAGTGCTCGGCTCGGCTCTGTCCTCTTGGTGGCCTCAAAGAGCTGTCGCAAAGCATAGCCTGGGACCTCGACCGTTCTCATCGGAATGATACAAAAAGAATACTCGCTTTCTTGTCTGGTCTTTTTTCTTTAGTTTGTTCATTGTCTTTTCATGCACTTTATGTTTTATGTTGTGCTTTGTCTCATTGGAAAAGAAATCCGTGTTCTTTCTGCCCACATCATGCCTTCGTTGCTGCCTCCACCAAATGGGCCTCTTGGAATCTTAATGAACGTCTGAATGACATCCAAAACCCTGGGTAGAACCAACTGCACATGCCTCATCTCCCGCCAGCATTTTCAGCCTCCAAGCCAAAAGTGGTAACCCTCTGGAGCCTCTGAAGTCTAGGGCTAAACAAACCCAGAATTCTAAATTCTAAATTCAAGCAACTTGGCAAGGGCTTACGGCTTACGGTATATACCCGGTATGCGAGAACCTACTGGCTCCTCCCAACAAAAGTACATCCCCATATATCCTTTGAGCCCACAACCTGCAAAGGAGCTTCCTGGAAACCCTCACTCCAGAAAACTGTTCTTTCTACTCCGTATCTCGGATCCGTCTTGTGGAGGGCAAACTTGGCCATCACACTTGCGTGTGTCAGGTGATGTCTCCTTGTTCCAACATTCGAAAAAAGCTCATGTCTTGCCCTCAAAGAAACGAACCAAGCCCAGCCTGAGTTGCTGTGCAAAGTATTCATGCGGGTTCATGTCCTGCAGGTGTGAACAAAAGGGAAACGGATCTTGCAGCCTTGCACCTGTTTGAGCCTCACACAATGCTATACATATGCATCTCCACGGGACACAAAGGGGTGGTTGGCGTGAACTCCTCCGGACGATCCAAGAGATATTTGGAGACCAGATCTCCCACGATACCCTGAATGTCATGCTTCTGACCTTGGAGCATCTTGTTCCGAGGATGCCATGTGAGCCATATGATAAAGCAATGGCCTCCAACCTTCAAGCTATGGCCTCCAACCTACTAGCCATGGCCTCCAACCTAATAGCGTGAAACAATCCAGACTCCAAATTGTTTCCTTCTGGGTTTGCAACCCACCATGGGCAACTTCTCCGTCAGCATATTGAACATATTGCATCGACACAGTGCATGTTCAAGTCAAGAGTCAGTAGGTATCGACGGACTCCTGTGCCCTCTCTCGGACCTCGTCCGCATCCATCATCTTAATTTCCTGCAACAGAGGAAGGCATTGAAACAGAACAAAGGATCAGTTCCATGGCAAACCAGCCTGCATGAACTTTACGAAGACAGCGCATGGCCATCAAGTAGCAAGTTAATTGGCAACAGAATATGACAAGGATATAAGTCGCACATTGAAATCAGGAAATCGGTTCTGATGCATTCTTCTCGGTTGTTCGCTGCTCTTTGAAGAATTCTTCTTACTAATCCTATCGTTGCAAGTCAACGCCAATTACAAAGAAGTGGAACGTCCACAATCGGGGTCCAATTCCATATACTATATACAAACGCATACCCAATTGTTGGTGGCCTTTGATGCACAACACAACCTCTGCAAGCGTTCAAGCCTTGCTCATTCCAAGCATACTTCAAAAAGCAAACTTGCATTTGGCAAGTTTCAAGCGAATGATCTGCCCACGTGTGCTTGTTTTGATCTTAACTGCACGACAAAAGCAGGTACACGAGTCCAATCGTCTATTCGAGCACAAAACCTGCTGTGGTGAGATCACGCAGCGTTCTTTCCACATGCCAACGTTGAGCTGCAGATCCAAGCTTGGACAGCAAATAGACTTGCTGTGCCAAGTCCACAATACCAAAATTGGTAAACCGTTGGAACCCATCTTACAGTAAATCTTACAAATGTTTTCTTGGTAAACACATAAGGGAGCGGAGCACCGGGGCGCTCGGTCAGCCTTTGGGTTCATTCCGTTTTTTTGGTACTGTTGATATTTGTTTACATGTTGTCTTGTGTACAAGTTGCCTTTGGCAGCTTTGGTGACACCGTCAGCAAAGATTCTGATCCACAACTGAGCCCTTCAAGCACCTCTGAGAGCTCAAAATGTTTAAAAAGTCGCCGTCCTGCCTTCGGACAGCCTATTGCCACCAATGTCCGGCATCATCGCAGAAACCAAGCTCGTCGACAACTCCCCCCAGCTCCCCGATTTGGTGTTCACTGCGATGATCGATCGAGCTTGGCCTCTCAGCTAGTCCCATAGGGGCCCTGGAGAGAAGAAACTGTCAAAATGTTGTGTGTCACAGGAGAGCAAGGAAGTCAACAAGTTGTGAAGAGCTGCGTGAGTTGCATAAGTTGCTTATAGGAATATCAATCAAATAGTTTGCCTGCGTCCTTGCCGCACTGTTGGGTGACCCAGCATCCTGGGTGTGAAAGCTTCCAAAGCCATCTGCCTGCAACTCAGGCTCTCAGCTTGGCAACTCTGCAAAAGGGACAAAATAGTTTGGCTTGGTAGTAGCCGGGACTCGTGATTTTTCAAGACACCAAGCAAGCCATGGCACGATTATCTTGGATCTTATCCCTTGATCTGTCGACTTGCCTGTTGACTTGATCCTCGGCGTCGGAGCTCCTGACGTTAACAGCACTTAGAAGCTCCATTCGCATCTGACGGTCTCCGGGAGAGGAAAATTGGTAAAACCAAAAGATCTATAAAGGTTCATACGACCACTTTCAAAAGATCTCCGAAAGAAACGGGGAGAAAAGAGTACAAACACGCTGTGAAACACAGCCTTCTTCTCCCTCTTCGCCACGGAGGTTGGAGACAAAACGGCCATGGCAGCAGAGATGTGCTTCCTGACGACAAGAATGAGATAGAAAATGGATTTAAAAACCTCCACAGCGTTGGAACACATGACATTTTGCAGTCAAGACACTGGTCTTTGGAACCTGCGTGTCTGCTCACAGAAATCACGGGTGCCAACTCTGTGCTTCCTGTTGTTGAACAAGCGCCACCTAGGGTGCTGTGCAAATCGGTGGAGGATTGGCCTGGCAACCGGAATGAGATGGAATGAGACACCATCGGTGGAGGAACGCTCCAAAGGGCCTCCCGGGAGTGTCTCAGTCGATTCACCATGTGCTCCTTCTCCTTGGAACATCCATGAATGTGAAGTGTCCCTTCAGAAAGTCTCGATCAAAGTATATAGGTCCTTGAGTGGAGTCTTCCCTCCTCTTGGCCTTCCCATGAAAAACCAACAGCTTGCACTTGGCTGAACTGCCATGCGGGCCTTCAGGCGAAAGCTCAACCTGAGCATGGTAAGGCAAGGTCAGACTCTGAGGCAACAAAAGTTGTCATTGAAAAGTTGGACTTGCTAGGAGTGAGGTCGATCTAAGGTCTTTAACAAGCTGTTGGAAATTGTAGTCAGTCGCTAGTAGGTTGGAGGTCATTGATAGTAGTATGAAATTAGCAAGTCTATTTACTGGTAACTCAAAGGTAACAAAGTCCGAGGCCTCCGACTAAGCAGTTGGTCCATTGGTAGTAGCTAAGTAGCGGTCTTGCGGTCTTCAAAAAAATACTGGAAAGGAAAAAAGAAACAACGAGATAAAAAAATGGGGGTTTAAAAGGGGTGTAGAACCCTCCTTTTGGTAGGGCCCCTACCTTCTCTTAGTTCATCTGTGTTTCTTATTTTCTTCGTTGTTCTTCTCCAAGAAGCGATGAGACATCCAAGTCCCTTGGTGGTCCATCCAAATCGGTTCCGAGAATGCTCTCCAAGCCCTGCATGAAGTCGGAGATGCTGATCTCCTCGAAGCTAAGAAGCATTCAGAAACAAAAAAAGACTGAGCGTTCACAGGCATCCAGTGAGCGCCTCTGCATTCGCCCGGTTCATCTTCTTGAAAACGACCTCGCCATGGATGCAGCATGCAAGAGGAAAAAGCTTGCTAGGAAGACTCATTTGCTTTTGTCATTACCCCACCATGGATGCCGTGTCTGTGGTTTGTCATGCAATCTGCGTGGTTGGACGCCCAGCTTGAATTTTGTCCAAAACTGGGCCTCTGCTTGGTGCGGTTGGACGCCCAGCAAGGAGAAGGACCTGTTTCACCAGAACCCTCAAGCTGAGTCAATGATGCTGAGCGACTGGATGGAATCACATTTGTGCCTCTGGACCCACGGCTTCCGCAAAGCATTCCGAAACTCATCCAGACCTAGTTTGGCGCATTGTAAGGCCAGATTGATTGAAAGATTAGTTGACCAAAATTGACTGTTGGCTTAATCAGCTTGGCCTGACAAACGATGAAGAAAATGAAGAAAGCGGAAGCTCATCTCAATTATCTTAAGGCGGAAGCTCATCTCTCCAGAGCGATCGGAATCTGCTTCGATGAAGAGGTTCTCGGAAGAATTCTTCGAAGATTCAACTAAGAACTCTTAGATGAATTCACGAACCTAATAGCAATGGCCTCCAACCTAATAGCAATGGCCTTCAACTTAGATGAATTCACAAACTTAGATTTAGTTGAAATCCTCTGTCTTGTTTAATCAGCTCAAAACACCCAAGGACAAAGACCAAGGGCAAGGTTGCGCCTCTAACCGCCTGAAGTTTCGAAGCTCTGCAATCTCCCGGTACGCCACCTGCAGTTTTCTTGGACAACATGTGGAAAGGACCGGGGACTAGAACGGGCCAGCCATCTTCACAAAGCGTGCGACAAATCCCAACCTCAAAAGGTTTGTGGAAAGCACCTCAAAAAGGAACAAGGGTGTCGCTACTAGTAACAAGGGCATCGCTACTGGTAACAAGGGCATCGCTACTAGTAACAAGGAGGCCGTCTTCATCCAATTCAACAGAAACAGAACGCTTCTTCTCGGATCGCTGGCTGCTCGCTGGCGGTGAAGTGACAAAATGTTGTCTTGCTGAGCTAGTAGCAAATAGCTACCAGTAGCTTCTTGCTACTAGTAGTAGTGCACTTGTTACTAGCGATGCACTTGTTACTAGTAGCTTTCGTTGGAAGCTGCTTTCGGGCCAGATCGTAAAGTGCATTTTTAGCAAGAATTCTTCAAGAAGTTCATCAAGAAGTGTCAAGAGATTTGGGAAGAGATTCCAAAGATTCGCGGAAGTTTAAATTCATGTGTATCGCGTGCTCTGTGCACCACACGTCCGGTTGTCTTGACACTTCCTCGCCCAACTCGGGGTGGTCTGCAAAGGTCCTGCAGGCAAGGAGTTGCAAGAACTCGTTCCGAACCACAAGAATCTGGGCCTCCTTTCTTTAGGAGGCAAAAAGCCATTTTATCTCTTGTTGTTATTAGTGATCTTTCTTCCTAAAACCCGGAGGAGACTGGACTCCATCGGGTCACCCTCAGGTTCACTCACGTCGGGTCGCGAGTCGTGCCTCTAATCGAATACCACGTTTGGTCACAGCCTGGCAAGGCTGAACGTGTCTTAGAAACAAGTGCATCGCTTCTAGTAACAAGTGCCTTACTAGTAGTAACAAGAAGCTACTAGAAACAAGGGCATCGCTACTAGGAGCAAGAAGCTACTAGGGGCTCCTGGCCTTACTAGTAGTAACAAGAAGCTATTAGAAACAAGTGCAATATTGGGCCATTGGGACCGGGAGGTTGAGCGTAAGTACAGCCATTGAGTAGGAAAACCAAGCTACTATCTATATAGTAGCTTCTTAGGGGACGCAAAGGGGCTGAGGCTTGTTGATTTGGTTCCTAGATCTTTTGGAAATGTTGCTATATCAATCAAGAAAACTCATGAACAACTCCACTCAAACCTGCTCAAGGCCAAGGTCTGTCGTGCCTTCCCAGCAGTTGGAAGGCTTCCCAGTGAAGCAGATTTTCCCAATCTGCAAACAGCAATATTATACGTCAAGCATTTTGACTTCAACTGCAATAAAGGCGTGATGGCTACTGTGCCGAGAGAGGGCGCAACACTTTCAGAGGTCTTAGAGGATCATGAGGCCTGCCATCCTACACCCCAAGTCGCAGATCTTCCTCGAGAAATGTACAAAGAATTTGTGAGTTAAAAAAATGAATTCTCTGAATTTGTGTTGGCTTTACACCTCCGCCTTGCGGACTTGCCACAAAAAGCGGCCTTGGCCTTGGCTCCATGGCACCAAAAATGCAAATCCCTTCATCCCTCCGTTCGAGCCCAAAATGGCCAATGACCAAGTGCTTCAAAGTGCGTCCTCCATCCTAGATTCATTGTCTGGCCGAGACTCATCCATGTTTCCATTAAAATAGTGCAAGAAGTAAACGAGGTCTACTCGTTGCATGTGTTGCGTCAGAGGTCTACGTTCCAAGAAAGCTCGTCGCCACACTCTGCAGCGGATCAGCATCTAGAGTCTTGGCACTTAGAAACCAATCCCAAGCACTTTCAAAACTACAATCAGAATTTGTTTATTTATTGTTGTTACTTTCCTTAATCTATTTTTTAGGAGGGGGTAGGCCGCTAGAGGTGAGGTAGGTAGTAGCTAGGTAGCTAGTAGCTAGGTAGCTACTAGCTTACTTAAGCTACTAGTATTGGACGCAGGATAGCTCACACTTCTTCAAGTAAGCTCCCCCCGCCCTGAAGGCGGCAGGGAGCGCTCGCACTATTCATTTGGTTCCTAGATATTCAGGGAAACTAAACTGGTCCAGTATGCCTGCAACAATTCAGGAGGGGCTTCGGGTTGTGACATCAGACTGCTCCCAGTCTCGCTGCCGCCGCGGCGCCCCAGTCACGATTTTGAACCCTATCCCTGTCCGCTCCTCCAGCCGGCTCTAATGGTCACAGCTTCGGAGTGGGAATGACGAGGGAAACAAAGCGTCATCGGTTGGTTTTGGAACAGAAATGACAAACATCGTGACATACAGCCTAAGACATCCCAGGAGCTCCATCTGAGCTGGGGAATCCCGCAGAAACTCAGCTAAAAGTTCCCAGCAAGGTCCAACAAGCTGTTAAGATCTGCTACTGCTAAGCTTCTAACCTTCTAAGTTGAGCCCAGTCTGTGAAGTCAACTTACAGACTTTGCTGGAAGCCACGCCCAGGTTCCAGCTCGGCCTCGTCCCGTGGCGATGCTGAAGTTATGCAGTGCTTGTGGCCAAGTGCTTATGGATTCAATCTGTGTTTGTTTAAAGCGAGCGGGAAAATGCAGCCACCTGAGTGTTCAAAGGAGTATTCCCAGTTCAAAGCACTTTGAGCATGCATGTTGAAAGGATGGTCGGAAAAATTGCCATTTGAAACAGAAGCGATGCTTCTTGGTGCTTCTTTCAGAGCGTCTCTCAGCTTCAGACTCAACTCAAGAGTTCGAAACTTCATTTTGGAACCTGAAACCCAACTGACGATCTGACCATCTCAGTTCCTCAAAAGGAGGCTCCTCCTCCCCGCTTCTTTTGATGCAAAGACCGGTTTCACCCTGCCTGCTCCATATCCTGGCATGAAATTCGAGTTCGCTGAATCCGGGCAATGAAATCGGAATCGCTTCATGCGCAACATCCCATTCCCCCCACTGTTCTGTGAGTTCCTGGCCTGCCACTTGTTCAACATGATCTTTTGACCTGGGATCCATCAAATGGTTGGAGGCCATCGCTACTAGGGTGGAGGCCATCGCTAGTAGGTTTGGTTAGTCAGAGCCACGTTGTGGTTCGACCAGCTTTCGCTGAGCTCCCTGCAACATAACAAGGCTTCTCGACGCACCTCTCGGGATTTCTGCTCAGGGGCTGCCATCAGCTCCATGACCTACAAGGGCAGCCAGGACTTGCAGGACATTCTTTGGATCTGTTTTTCTGTCTTTAAATCCCGAGTTGTCCTCATAGAAAATGTTGTTAAGTAAAGACTATATACTTAATTAAGGGTAGGATCTACAACTACCCGCTACTAGCTGCTGGACGCAGGATGGCTCGCACTTCTTCAAGGAAGCTCCCCCAGGGCAGCGGGGGGGAAGCTTCCTTGAAAAACCGCAAACACATTCATTTGGAGCGAACGCGAAAGCTGAATTTGGAGAAATCCAATCGATGCTGAATTTGGACTTCTTGCAACATCAGTGCACTGAATCAAGGCAATTCAGCAACTGATGTCTGGCACCTTCTCCTTCACCTGCAGCTGGGCAACCTGTGTCCAGGATCAAAGTGAACATGTTGAAAGACTGCGAGGAGGCTTGCCAGCCTTCTTCTTGCCCAGAGGGTGCAGGGTCACAAACTCGCCAATGTCATGACCTCGCACAGGTCGCGTCGGCCGGTCGGCCACCACTCTGTCAGACCACTGTCGTAGCCACGGCCACTGGGTTGCTTGCATGCCACGGCCAATGTGGTGTCGTCCGTTGCAGGACTTTGGAGCAACGACGCCAACACCTTCAGAGCCTGGGGAACGTCAACAACGGGTGGAGACCGAAAGCATCGTCCCACGTGGCGTCGTGCAGTCGCTCAAAAGAGCTACGGCTTCTGAGGCTCGTCACTCTGAAGTCATTGGACTCAAACCTGAGTTGTCTGTGAGTTCAGCTGCAATCTGCAAGCATCTGCAATCATCTGCAACTGTAAGCTTGAATTTTTTCAATTCTTGGAACACATGCCAACGCAGCACATGGTTTCTCTGTCAGGAGATGCATGAACATCCTCTGCAAACAGGAAGCTTTAGGACATTCTCTGCCCAGAACTTGCTCGAATGAATGAAGCCTTGGATCTTCGACATCTGCGTCCGTTCAGTTCAGTCGTTCGTTTTTTAAAGCCCGCTCCTACTTAACTGACTAGGCGTGGCGAAGCGGCTGCGGCTCACCCCTTTTTGGTGTGGAAATAGATGGTGTCGTTTGCCCGCCCGGAAAGGCTGCGGCCGATGGTGCGAAGGAAATTGGCGGGAGCCTTGGGAGTCAGCCTCTTCTGGCACCAGCCTCTGGCACCTTTGGAGCTGCCTTTTTGTGCCTGCATTCTGCCTATACGCACACCTCAGCCAGGAGGGTTGGGTGGGACTGCAGCCTTGGCAGTCAGCCTCTGGAACGTGCCAGGCAACTGTTCTATGGGCTCCTGAAGGCGACGTGCCAGGCGACGTGCCAGGCGACGCGCCAGGCAACGTTAGGCAAGTTAGGCATTTTGGCTGCACCCCCGTTCCGACCGCTGTTGCGGGCAGAAATAGATGGTGTCGTTTGCCCGCCAGGGAGCGCCTGGCGCATGCCAGGCGACAACTGCACCAGCCCGTTTTGGGCAGTCTGCAGAGCAGGATTGGTCTGTGGGCCTCACCTCTGCTTGTGGACTGCAGCCTCGGGAGTCAGCCTCTGGAACGTGCCAGGCTGACTATTCTATATATGGGCTCCCAAAGGCGACGTGCCAGGCAACGTTAGGCATTTTGTCTGGCCGCGCCCCCCCCCCGTTCCGACCGCTGTTGTGGGCAGAAATAGATGGCGTCGTTTGCCCGCCCGCTCAATTGAGTAAGAGAGCAAGCTACTAGGCTAAGTTAGCTTCCAGGTAGGCGCAGGATAGCTCATGCACTGATGATTTGTCTCCTAGATCTTTAGGGAAACCTAACTTATCTAGGCCATCGCTACCACCATTAGGATGGAGGCCATCGCTAGTAGCTTGGAGGCCGTCGCTGGTAGGTTGAACACCATTGCTATTATGTGCGAGGCCATCGTTGCTAGTAGGATGGAGGCAGGCCATCCCTAGTAGGTTAGACGCCATCAAGAGGGCAATGGACGCCGGGATCCCAGGTTTCAGATCGCCTGGACTGATTGCTTTGGTTTGGTCAAGGGCCGTGATGGCATCGGCTTCGCTACAAGCATGGGAACTTTGCAGCTGCTTTGAAAATCATCAGCCCTACAAAAGATGTCCCTCCAGATCTTCAGGGGGCGGCATGGATCAAGATTCAGCCGCTTCCTTTTGGCACCTCCACAGACACACTGATCCAAGGGGCACAAACCTACAAGTGGACCATCCAGCCAATTCGACAGGTTGGAGCTCGGGCATGGTTGATTGCGAGCAATGAACCGATTCCAACAACGATCTTGCTCTTAAACTCCTCGCCAGTGTTGGCTGCCCCAGGCCGCAGAAAGGAGTCAGCAAGAAATCCCCAGGCATTGTTGGCGACGTCACTTTGAGGGTCATACCTAGGTGAGTGGCGCAGCAGGAGCATCTGCGGCTGATCCTTGGGCTCAGTATTTGGCTGCAGGGAAGACCACTTCCGGGTCCAGCCACGACTCGCAGTGCGGTTAGGCCCACAGAATCCGAACTTCAACAACAAAAGGGGAACTCCACTCCCTTGAGGTCCGCATGGCTTCCATTGAGGCGGCTAACAATGTCTTTCAAGTTGATACCAGAAAGAACCCGCCTGACCCATCTGGACATCAGCATCCGCCAGCAGGCACACGACCTTTCGATTTGGCTGCGATTTGATAAACATTTGCAGCTCTCTGCCCAAGCATTGGAGGCTTCAGTCATCAAGACTATGTGGACAGAAAACGCAGCATTCCATGGGAAGCTGGCCTTGCTACAAGAGCTCTTCCAAGAAAATCTGGGCCGTAAGAAGCCCAAGGAGGCGGCTGTTAATTCACTGAGGCTTTTGTGTGGGTTCCTTCCCATTCCTTTGCCATTGGTGGTTGCAAATATTTTTGCTACAACAGCCATTGATTCGTCTTATCCACGTCAGATTGTTTCGACGTGTCCTTGGTCATGGAGTTAGATTGGGCGAAGCTCGACCCTGGGCCCGATGTCCTTAACCTCGGGTTCTGCAACCCCACGTTTTTGACCAACAAGGCTGATGCCTTTCGTGATTTACATTGTCAATGCAAATGTCATTTCATTGCGGCATCTGAGACCAGTGCCACATTGCCAGTTCAGGTCATGACAAGGCGGAAACTTTTCAGCTTTCACAACGGCAGCTCCTTCCCTTCGCGCAAGGGCTAACCATCAAATCAGCAAGCGTGGAAAAGCAACGGGCCGTGACAACTTCAGCCTCTCTCCAAGACAATTTCCTCCAGTTGATCGACCCGGGCATGGACTTGAGATTTCTTCATGTTGTCATTGAGGAGTGGAAGCTGCAGATCATCGCTGTTTACGGTCTTGCTCAATCCAATTCGGGCGCTCAGGACTTCAATGATGAGCTTTTTGGCGCTGGCGGCCAAGAGTCCAGAAAGTGAATCTTCCTTCCGTTATTATGGAAGACTTTAGCGCTGATGTTTCCAAGCTGGCCTCAAGCAGTACTTTGGCCAAGATTGGCGATTTGCATCTGCAACAGCTATTTTCCGCCATGTATGGTGTCATGCCACCCACTTGGCCCACTTGCAAGGAAGCCACCACTCCTGACATTGCTTTTCTGTCGCCAGAGTTATTGCCACGATTGCAATCTATTGAAGTTTTACAGGATCAGCTTTTTGATGCTCACAAAGTTGTTCTTTTGTTGTTACGTTGGCATTCGGGCAATCTCACCATGCAAATCTGGCCCAAGCCCAAATCGTTCACGAACTTTTTGTTCCCTCGCAGATTTTGCGTACTTGGTCCCACTCGCTGTCTAGGCTTTCCAGGCGATGGGAATTTTGTTCGGATTCAGTTGCACAATGCTGGGTCCTTGCCTGTCGTAAGCACGCCAATGCCTACGCAGATAACTGGGCCTGATAACTGGGCCTAGGCTGTCAAGGATGTCCTTGAGCTTCAACCTGTCCTCGAAGCCACCATAAGTCAATGTACAGTGACCTAGATTATTGGCCTTAACATTGACTGGTCCAAAACTTGGCGGTGGCCTTCGCATAACAAATCAAAACAATTTGGCCAAAGTAGCGCACGCTGCCTTTCTCTCGAGACTGTGTCTTGGCTGCCTCGGACTTGGGTTGCACGGTTGCCCCTTGTGCTATCAGGGTGCCCCTTGTTTAGGTAAACTCTGTGACAGATTCATTATATCTAGCCAAAGATTGGTCGCCGCAGATCTAGGTGTCAAAGTCAAGGTCATTGCGGCTAGCGTGTATCCAGCGGCATTCCATGGGGCTGAGCTCTTCCCCTTGGGTGAACCATATACTAGGTCTTTGTGCCATCATGTTGCTGAGGCCTTGGTGGGACCATCTGAGAGCATGTCAGCAGTTTTGGTCAGTTTGTGTGCATCCAAACACGTTCATGACCCAGAGTTACATCTGTTTTTGAAAGCCTGCGCAGCAGCCGAAGGTTTCTATCGACTCATGACAGGTGACAGAGCCACCCAAGTGACTTTCTTTCGTTATGCTGCTGAGCATTTTCCTCGTCCGAATACCTCCAAAGGTCCAGCATCAACGCTCAAGTTCGTCCATTGGTTCCTCGGGTTACATTCAGGCGTCTGTCTTTATCAAACTACAGTTTCTTGCTTGTCCATGGTCCACCTTGGTGTGGTTTGCAGAGCGCTCTTGGCAGGATCGCCTGCTGGTGGCAGAGTCACATCGCAAGTCCCTGATTGGTTCCTGATATTGACCAGCATCTCACTCGTCAGGCTATGTCACATGTATCACCAGGAGAACGTCGACTCTTGGGACGTGAAATCGCTGGTGCCTTTCAGTCCACAAGCCAGCAGGCCATCTGGGACTCGCCAAGCTGACACCAAGTTCCACCGCTTCTTTGCGCGCACGGCCACCCAGCAAATTTGTGAACCTTTCGTTATAGTTTTCAATTTGCATTTCAAGAGCATGCGCCTGACCCGGCCCTGGTGGCACGCACACAGGCGTGCATTTCGGCTGATCAACCATTACATGTCTACACCGATGGTAGCTGCCAACATCCCACTTCGCCCTCCTTGAGATATGCAGGATATAGTGTAGTTGTTGATTCGCGCAGTAATGATTCTGTTGGCATGCACAACGATATAAAGAGACTGGTCGCGTGCCACAAACCTTTCATGTGGCCATCCAAGAGCTTTGCCCCAATGAACAAAATATGCACCATGCTGAGTTGAGGGCTGTTGCTCGAGCGCAGGAATGTTTTCGGCGCGCCATCATTCATGCTGATTCGTCTAGTGCCATTGACACTTTTCGTGACGCGGCCACTGTCCAGGGTACCCAACTGCACAAGCCTCCGCAACCTGCCCTTGCCATCGTATTAAAACTTTGGCTAATCAGGACACTATACGGTGGTTAAGGTCAAGGGTCACGCCATCCCCGTTTGCTCCCTGATCTGCTCTGCTATCACGCTTTGGGGAATGCTGCGGCTGACCAGGATGTGTGTCTGCCTTGACTAACTCTGTCGTCTTTCGCTGATGCCTCAAAAATGTCGTAAAGATTGCGATAACCATATCCCAGCTTCTCTGAATCCGCGGGAACCACACCCCATGTGTCGGTCCGGGGCCTTTTCAGACAGCATGTCTGCATGGGCCGTTTTGAGTCCTTTGGCTTTTGATCTTGAGGCAGCCCGTGCCCTCTGCATTCTTTAGCTCCTCGTACTGGGGTGCATGCATCATTGCTTGATTCAGTTCTTGAATGGCACAGTGCCTTCCGGCGGCCGCAAGCTGACAACACCCAAGACAACGTGCACGTTGGTCCTTCTTGGATGGAAAAGGTTGAGTTTCATGTTGGTTGCTAGGGGTTACATCCCCGTGCATAGACCAATGTAGACCATAAGACATTTGCTTGGCCGCATATGCCAGCTGAGGCGCTCGCCTTCAATAGCTCTTGGAATGAGTGTGCTTCTCAATTTGCCACCATGGTTGGTCAGACGATCTCTTCGTGTGGCGTCCCCCTATTGCCTCCGCACGTCCGGCGTGCCCGTGCTTGTGCTTTGTACAGGCAGGGGGCAGGCTCCTGTGCCTTCGGCTGGTGACATCGGCCTTGCTATCCAGAGCAACAGCGAGTTGCTGAAGTCATCCGTCATGAGTTTCAGGAACATATCCGTCCGACATCCTACAAGTGGCGGCCACGTGTGGAAGTTGATGCTGATCCTGGTCCATGCAGGTTCCTTTGGTCACCACCTTCTTCCACTTGGAATGTACTCCAAAAAACGCTTCAAGCAGGGCAATAGTTCAGCCCGACTCCTTCGTGCTTCGTTGTGAGACTTCTTCAACTTCCTCGAGTTCTGAGTTTCTTACATGCTCTTTAGGTTGCTTTCCGTCTCTGACACTCAGCCCCTTCCATCGCTATAGGTTGGAGGCCATCGCTCTGAGGTTGGAGGCCGTCCCTTTTGGGTTGGAGGCCATCCCTATTAGGTTGGAGTGGAGTCCATCCCTATTAGGTTGGAGGCCATCGCTAGTAGGTTGGAGGCCATCGCTAGTAGGTTGGAGGCCATTCCTAGTAGGTTGGAGGCCATCCCTATTACGTAGGTTGGAGGCCATCGGTATTAGGTTGGAGACCATCCCTATTAGGTTGGAGGCTATCGCTAGTAGGACGGAGGCCGGCCATCCCTATTAGGTTGGAGGCCATCGCGACCAGGTTGGAGGCCATACCTAGTAGGTTGGAGGCCATCCCTAGTAGGATGCAGGCCATCCCTATTAGGTTGGAGGCCATCGCTCTTAGGTTGGAGGCCATCGCTCTTAGGTTGGAGGCCATCCCTAGTAGAATGCAGGCCATCGCCAGTAGGTTGGAGGCCATCCCTAGTAGGTTGGAGGCCATCCCTAGTGGGATGCAGGCCATCCCTATTAGGTTGGAGGCCATCACTATTAGGTTGGAGGCCATCCCTAGTAAGTTGGAGGCTATCCCTATTATAGTAGGTTGGTTCGCGAACTTGGACGAGTTCTCTGGGCTCAGCTTGACCAAACGAGGTCGATTCGGTACGAGTTGCTCTTCGAGATCTTTGTTTGCCACTTTTCTTTTGAACACCAGACAATAGAAGACGTTTAAGAGATGAAAAACAGAGGCCTTACTTTTTTTCATGTCTATTTTGCTCTTCTATGACTGAATGCTTTTCAGGAAAGGCTCCTTTGTTTCTTTTTCGTTGTACTGTCGACAGTCCGACCAGCCTGGACAAGCACAAAACATTCTCAGGGCCTCACCCCATTGGAGCTTTCCTGTTTGCAACTCGCGTTCATAGCGCTCAAAGTTGCTCATCTCACTCACCTCACCGCAAACGCCGTGCGCGGCGTGATCCGAGTGAGCAAACGAAATTAATGCTGGGACGCCCCGTTTCCCGCCTCTGATCCAATTTGAATGGCCATATCCTTATCACAATCAGGCAGAAAAATAACACACCCCGTATAAAGCTTTGCAGAATCTCTTGAACTGCTATGAATTTGACAAGTGGTACAGGCTGTACAGGGCCTTATATTTCTTTGTCTAAACAACCACTGCAATAACTAGCCATTGCTCAAATCATTCCATCTACACTTCTCCATCTCTCCAACTAACCATGCCAACCAATCCATCTACGTCTGTCTAGTTGTGGTTCTTTTCATCCAACCACAGGCGAACAGGTTGATCATATGCCACAGGCAAACTCATGACCTTGATGTCATCATAGAGCTCTGCATCCCTCCACTTCTCAAACTCCAGCTGCTGAACTGCCTGCCGCAAGCGAATAGGGCAGGACAAAGGCAATACGCATGACAGGCAGTGCACGAACTCAATTTTTTAGGTCAAGTCAATCAAGGCCTCCAAAATTCCTTCCTCGACAATGTCCTCACACAGGCTTTTGTTGCCTGGCAGTAGCAGTCGCGGCGCACAGCCAAAACAATCCATGTCCGCTCGGGTCGCAATCCAATCGCTTCATACACATCATCCTGAGTCCAAAGCCAAGGAAGTTCTTCAGAACTGTGAGGCAGAGGCGAATCACCTGACAAAAAGTCGAGGCGAATCACATGCTTCGCACTTTAAGGTACATCCTTCGCAGCACCTTCTCGACTCTGCTGTAGGTCAGAGTCTCTCGAAGCTTCTTGATAACATGCATCTCCTAGGCCAAGAGACGAAGCTCAAGGAGACCAACACCTCATGGACTCGCTGGGGCCAAACAACGAGCACACCTAGGAGGGGGCACCTAGTAGCGTCCTTGCTCCTAGTAGTAAGGCCAGGAGCCCCTAGTAGCGTTCTTGCTCCTAGTAGCGATGCCAGGAGCCCCTAGTAGCTTCCTTGCTCCTAGTAGTAAGGCCAGGAGCCCCTAGTAGCGTTCTTGCTCCTAGTAGCGATGCCAGGAGCCCCTAGTAGCGTTCTTGCTCCTAGTAGCGATGCCAGGAGCCCCTAGTAGCTTCTTTGCTCCTAGTAGCCCCTGCTGGGGCCAAACAACGAACAAAATCTCTGCTTGTGCCCTCCTTGAGTGAGCTAGTAATCTCCTGGTCGAAGGACCTTAGATCTATCGAAGGAAAGTCCGTCCAATCCGAGTTGTCCTGAACATGGCCAGTGCAAGATTCCAGTGCAGACAAGAGTCAAAGCCCAGATTGCGAAGATGCACCTGCAAAGGCCGCGGCATGGTCGCATCAGGGTAGAATCCAGCCAAAGTCGGTCTTAGCCCAGCCACTTGTACAAGTGTGGTGACGGTGCAGACTTTGGCTGTATCCTGGGCTAAGGTCAGAAAAGCAAAGACAGCTCCATACCCAAACGAAGACCCGCTGAGTTCATGGCCGGAAGATTCTCTCTGGAATCCCTGTCAGAGCCGAAGATATTGCTTTAAAAAGATCCTTTCTGAGCCTCCAACCTACCTGCCTTAGATACCCTTCCTTCAAGACAATAAGTATTCTTCAAGAATCCATGCAAAAGCTGAGCCGCACCTGGCTCAGACCAAGTGAACTTTCTGAAGGCATCTGACTTCAATAGATTTGTGATAGCCTGCACCATGAGCTTTTAACTTTGCGGCCTGCCTTGGAGCCTGAATGTCTCACATTGTCTCACCACTCCCTGCTTGGACCAAGCCAGTCTGGGGTCTGCTGAAATGCAAACACTGAAATAAGAGGAATCAACGGCAATATGATTCGAGTTCAACTTGAGGTGAGCAAAGCTCAAGAGCAAAGACTAGCAAAGGTGAGCAGTACCAAGGCAATGTTGACGCGTGGCACTCTCCAATCCAAGCAAGTCTGCTGCCAGAAAGAAACGTTCACAAAAATGATGATCTTTGCCCTTTTTAGTCGAGCATAAGATAGACTGCACCAAAAAAGATCCAGAGAGTCAGGCCAACTTGAACCAAGAGTAGAGGAAAAGAAAGGCTGAAAGCAGGAGCGAGACAATGAGCTCCTGCCTCCAATTGTCCAAGTTCCGAGCAACTTGTCTTTGACGAATCTAAGACAGAAGATAGAAACTCCTCCACTTGGGCCTCACTGGATTCGAGAGTGTGATGCACTTTCTTCAAATCATCACGGCGCTTGAAAATCTAATTCTACTAATCATCACACGGTTTGGCGCTGTTGGCACATGCTGCGGCAGTTTTTTACTCCAAGCCTTTGTGACACTGTGCGGGACATGGCTGATCACCGCAGAAAGCAGCCAACTGACCTTTCAGAACCCAGAATCTCCCATAAGTCCTCACATGTGTTCCTCGGTTTCTTTCTTTCGCATCGACAACAATTTTAACATTCGCTGCTTTTGTACTACTATGCGTGCGGTGGACATCAAGCAAACAAGAAACCATTTTTTGGAGAATACTGTCTTAAAGATAGTTTCCATTGTCTTGCCTTGTCTGCTGTGTAGTTGTCACCAGGCCGGAGAAGCAAGGCCATCAGAGGCTTGTAGACCTCGCATGTGTAGGATACCAATGGGCTCTGCTGGTTGCACTTATTGATGTCTTCTCGTATTGGTTCTTCCAAAAGAAAGAACTGCTGATATTCCAAAGCCTCGATCTTCTGCTTTGAAGCCTCCTCAAAGATGGCGTAGCCTCACCAAGTAGAATGAGTGAAAATGTGACAGAAAAGTTGTGTCTCAGCCGTGTTGCTGCTACTATCCTCTCGAAGCATGTCATAGAACAATGTCAAGAGCCACTGAATAGGTTTCTCATCTCCTTGGTGCTCAGACTCTCAACCTCAAATTGACTCACATGTTTTTGTCATACAGCAGTGAGACAAGTGTCAAGACTCACATAAATAGATCCTTGTCCATGCTACACACATTTGCTTTCCAGAATCGACTCGCCATGATGTTCATGCACGCTTGCACGACCTGAATGTGGCCTGCAAACAAAGCTGTTGCTGGATTCTTGGATTGTCCGAGCATCATGCATTCTATTAGGTTGGAGGCCATCGCAAGGAAAAAATGCATAAGGACTTGAACTTGCCCGAAGGTACAGCCGCATTTTATGCAACTGAAATACAAAGACATGTGACATGCAGGTGAAAGAAAGTGCAACCTCTTCATACAAACAGTGAGCTACCAGTGTGTGATTGTGTTCATTCGTCGGCCTTGAATCATTGATTTGTTCTTGATAGCCTCAAGGAGCACCGTGATTTTCTTATTAAGGAAACCGCACCCAGTTCCAAGTCTCTGACGGGTGCATCAGCCTCGATCAATTTCAAGACGTGTGCTTGCGCCTTTGTCGCCTTCAACAAAAACAACAATACGGATCGGCGTCTGTTTATATCTTTTATGGTTGGAGGCCTTAGTAGGTCGGAGGACATCATCAGTCGTAGATTGGAGGCCATCGATTGTCCCGGCCTCGTAGCTTTCCCAATCAGGTTTGAAGCTCAGGATGCTCTGATGAATTTCTGCAGCTTTCGAGAAGTCGCCGCCTCCAGTCCATGCAGGGAAATGACCAAAATTTACTGTTGACCGTCACACTGGCCGTGTTCTTCGTTAATCTTGGTCAGCGAAAGGTAACGGTGGACACCTCCATCCACTCTGTACTTCTCAATGAGACTGGCTGCTTCGGCCATGCCACCAGCCTTTACAAACCCTGGACTCACAAAAAAGACACGACAAGGTGCACACAAAACTGTTGACGACTTGCACTTGGCGCTGCCTTCCCAGCCAACTGCAAAACTGTGTTTAAAGCTTGATTGCGAAGTGAAATGCAGCGGAAAGAAAACCTCTAGAACACGTTACGAAAACCCAAATTGAACCAACGACGCGAATTTAGCTCAACGAGTGTGGCACATACAAACAAATGAATGTAAATTGATGCAAACATGTGAGAAATTGCATGCTTGGGTCACATACAACGAAAACTCGTTTTCCAAACAACGGATAAAATCCATATCCAAACAAAGTTGTGTTGATGCAAACAAATTCCCAATTAAGGGACCAATTCATCACCAAGGAAAAGGATCTTCGAAATCCATGTTTGTTACTGTTGGCAACAAAGGAGGCCTTTTTTTTCGTGGGTGCAGCCTTGAGGATTCAGTGGCATGGGGTCGGACAATATACATACAACCAGCGGACATCAAAAAACTGCAGCTGTACAAAGTTTACAATCATTATTTCTTTCTCGCACCATTCATTACAAACATGACAGTCAACTCAAATGAGTGCACAAGAAAACTCAGCAGCTTCTTCTCGAACGGGCGATAGCAAGGTCTTATCTGAAGGCCCTCCTGGCCGGTCGGAAGGGCTAGGCTTTGTATGGTACATGGTAGCGCGTTGGCAACCAACGCCATTGGTGTTGAACCCAATTGTTCAGGGTTTCGGTCGCTTGTCGAATCAGATGGTCTGCAAAGGTCAAAAAGTCCGCAAGCTCTTGGCGGGCTTGATTCAAGGGGCCAATATGGGCGGTATTGGCAAACCCCATGTCTTCGAAGTGCTCGATCATGGCGTCCATAGCAATCAGGGCTGCTAGGGCATCGGATCTCAGTTGAATTGCCATTCTGTATCAGTAGAGGTCTGCTTGAAATTGCACCAAGTCAGGTTGCTGCATGGGTGGTGGGCGGGCCAATTTTGCCAGACAAAGAAAAGCGGAAACCCACCCTCCACTACCCTGGAACCAAGCTTAACGAAACGTGAGAGGTATGTTTGAATGAATGCAAGCTTGTTTTCCATCACTGCAAAACAAGGAAGCTCTTAAGAAATAAATAGTTTGTTGACTTCGCCAACTGCCCATATTGTTTCTTTCTCGCACCATTCATTACAACCATGACAGTCAACTCAAATCAGTGCGCAAGAAAACTCAGCAGCTTCTTCTCGAACGGGGGATAGCAAGGTCTTATCTGAAGGCCCTCCTGGCCTCCCCCTTCTTTGGGCCTTCTCATAGACCGCTCTTATCTGTCTTTTTTTTGCACGAGTACGGACGCCATGTGTGCGGTGCGCACAGGTCATCATGTGAAGGATGGAAACTCTGCATATTGGTAAGGGGAGCAAAACCACAAGAGAAACAGCACAACAACCACAACCAAACCAAAAAACACCCCCAAAAAGCCCCAAAAGGACCCCTTGAACCAATGTGAGCAGAGTTTCGCACTGTACTAAGGTGAGACTGGTGAGACATGAAAGATCGTTCAACTAACTAATCGGGCCTGAATTCACGAAATTTGCCATACAATGTAATGGGACATTGAGCTGCTACCCTTGAAGGCCATTCACCAGTGGCCTTCAGGAGCGGACAAGGGACAGGTCAGCCCTTGCCAGGTTAGGTTGCAAGCACTTCAGCCATATTCGAATGCACGACAGTTTCAGCTGGTGCGGACTGTTTGCAGCAGTTCAGGTCTGTTATGATCTTTCAGTAGTTGCAATGATATTCTGGCCTTGGAAAACAGCCTGCCTAAGGGCACAGCTATTACACACGGCTGCACAAGCAGAGGCGACTGTGGCCGATGGACATTGCAAAACAAGCGTAGCTGCAGGCAACCCACAAACCTCCCTCATCCGGGGGAGGCTACCCACACCCACCCAATAGGCTCCATGACAGGCAGCAGCGGGAGCTTGGGGGGTGTGCAAGTATGCAAAATCGGATGGATAGAGCAGTCATCATGGGTCACTATCCACAGACATGCATGGCCCTGCATGGCCCTGGTGAAACATGGTGAAACAAGAATCTCTCCTAGCATGGTACTTTGCGCCCACTTTGTACAAGATTGGCTGAGTGCAGACTCACTCCAGGCGAGACTAAGGTTCTCACTTGGGTGCCAATCGTCTACTGCTCTACCGACGCGTGCCAATGCCCGGCCAGGAGCTGAGGCTCGCAGCCAGGTCGGCTCACTGACAGCAGGATGTTGAGACCCTATTGGCAAGTAGCTGGTCTGCACAAACAGGGCGTTGCCACTCGAGTGGAGGCCAACGACTGCTGTCGAGGCGTTTGCTTCATTGACATTGCCCTGTGGCATGAAGGTGGGCATATTTGAGAGTAAGCAGGCACTCTTTGCATGTGGGTCCTCTTTTCGGCCGGTTTCCTTTGGTCTATGGAGTTTGAGGTGCGCACTTGCGAAGCCATGTTATAGTGTATTCGACAATCTATTCGAGCGGCAGTGGATGAGCCTAGGCCAGGCCTAACACATAGCCCTGGTCCGGAATTATGTGTAGCCACTGCGGCCATCTCATGGCTGGGCAAAGTGCGAAAGCATTCTCCTCTGCATATGATAGACCGCTCTTATCTGACCACATGTCTTCGAAGCTTGGAAGCCAAGCCCTCAAGGCCTCGGGCAGCATTTCACGCGGGGTCGACCTAGAAGGAAAGTTGGCGTGAAAGTTTGACACACAAACTCCTGACGGAAAATCAAAAGCTCTCGTGCTCAAAACACCTAGTCAGTCAAGTGTCTCAACGACCCGAGTCGAAAACGGAAGAAAAAAGCAGGCAAAAGACACGCACACTTTTCGCCGCACACTTGAGCCAAAGTGACGAACGTTCTCCAAGGTTCACAAATGTTCTCGGGACATTTGTGGACATGCAAAACCATACTTAAAACAGTTCTACGCTTCACAAAGGTTCTAAAAACAGTTGGAAACAACTAAGAGCATAGTCTAAACATCTTCGGGTGTTCTCGGACACCTCATACACAAACTACAAGCATAGGGAAACATTGAAAGGGATCTTTCAATGTCCTCAAAAGCTAACGAACGTCATTCAAACAAGCCAAAAACTCTCTATGGCTTTCTTTGCGGTCTCTAAACAAGTGGTATGGAGTCTTCGCTCCTCAGTACTATAAATTCTCACACCCCCTTTCGAAGCTCACATGCCACTTTGGACACTATTCACTCGCTGTTCCAGTAAGCGCTTGCGCTCACAGCAGCTACACAAACCAAAAGAGGTGACTTTCTTGCCTCGCAAGTATTGGCATTGACGGTCAAGGTGGAATTTGGGCCCAGTCGAGGTCACAAAAACCTCAAGTACCTTGTTCACTGCATTCATCTTCATCCACTCGGAGGTTGCAGTGTTCTCAACACCACTCGGCCGGCCAGCAGCGCTCGAAGCAGCAGCACCTGTAGAAGCAGCAGCAGAGACTTTCTCTCTCAACAACGGCTCTTGCTTCTCTGGCTTATCGGCCATCATCCTCTTCTGTCCCAAAAGGCTCTTCGCCATTCCAGCAGTGCCAAAAAGCTTCACAAGCAAACTCAGCGCGCCATACAACGCCAGCGCAGCAATGCAGCTGCCCTCAAACGACAACATGGCTTCCCGCGCGGACGCCCCACACACACAAATGGCTGCGGAAAAGTTCGGCGAAGAAAAGTTCTCCGAAAGGAAAGAAAAGATAGGAAGGAAGGGACGACTCAAGGGTCATTTCGACATGAGCACGGCTTCCATCCTGAAAAACAGTCTCATTGTTCAACTGGTTTCAAGTCTCTCGAAGTAAGGTGGTCACGCAGACCGAGACAAGATTCATGAAGTACCTTTGTCAAAAACCTGATCCAATTTCATCGACTCTCGACAGACTCTACAGTGAACAGTCTAGAAGGTGTGAACAATCACAGTTCAAAAGCTATTGAGTTCCAGCGGCATCTCATGCACACGTATTTTCACATCGATCATCGGAAGCTTCATCCGCAAGTGTCATCAAGCTATCTGTGCAGCAACAAAAGCAAAGGCTCTCAGCCAGTCGGTTGCTCAGCTTGGGTTCTCACCTCAAGGATGCACAGATGCAAAAACTCTTCACAAGAAAACGAGCAAATTTCATTGAGTACCTTTCAGTATCATGGTAATCAACTGCATTGAATGGTGCGTGACTCTCATCGCAACGACATTGAAAGCGAGAGTTCAACCGCTGACTCAAAAACGAGTTGGAACTCTGAATCCTGAAAATTTTGCCAATTCGAAGTCCACTCTGGGTTTCCAATCCCATCGAACAAGCATGACATTCACTCTGATATGCCATTCCGTGCTTTTCGAAGAAATTCTGAAGATCTCGACTCTTCCAGTACTGATTGCTTCTCGGCAGTTCGAACGAAACAGTGACAGATACTCCTTCAGATGACTTGATCTCATCAAGATACTTTCCAGATGACTTTAAAAGATAGAAGAACTCTTTCTCGTGCTTCTCATTCCTTCCCCAAAAATTCAAGAGAGGGGATCCGCCTTTGCAAGGAAGAGAAATGTGCACGAGACATGCCACCTGAGATCCATGCGGGCATCGACTGAATCCATCACGGAGCAGGGTCAGCACCTTATTGCGAACACCGATCTCCTGAAGGTTTGCATGGATTCCGATGTATCGAACATAGTCAACTTCTCGACAAGATCTTGCGATGACTGACTCTTTGCCACAAGCTACTTCTAGCACAGTATATCGAGGATACCTGAGTTGATCCGACTCTCGGATGATTGAAACGGCTGAGTCACACTCAAAAGTCACTCTTGACAACGTTTCGTTTGAACATCTTAGCATCACACTTCGCGGGGGCATTGAGGCCAACAGCGAAAAGATGGTCACATTCTGCTCAGCTGTCAACACTCCAGTACCATGGCATGCGATGCAGCATTGAACCGGTCTGGATGTCCCTGAACTGGCCACTGAACTTCCAGTTTGGCCCATTGGTGTCGAAGTGTGTTGAGATCCTAATCCCATGATCCTTGTGATATCGCTGGTCGAACCGATCGGCGATTCCACTGAAGCTGGTGCTCCCCAATCAATGAGCG